TTCATGATCTCCTGCTCAAAATCCTCCTTAACCTGCAAGTATTCTACCAGGGTCACAGAAGAGTTCCTTTGACTGTCCAACTGCTGCTCCTTCTCACAGCACCTTTGCTTGTCTTCAGCTCCTCTTTTAAGTTCTCAATGGTGCTATTGAGTTTTTTCACACCTCCACCTTTTCCATTGGGACATGCTGCTTCTGCATTATAGTTATGGTGAGGATCTCTCGGCAGTCTCTTTGGTCTTTTCCTCTACTAGCTTCTCTTTCTCATTTTTCATTTCAGTGTATTTTTGTGACAGACCTTTCGACGGTTTAGCTCTTCAGTTTTTCTGCCTAATACTCTTCCAGTTTCCCAGGCATTCTCCATCAGAGCATGTGTGTCCTTTAACTCTTTGTGAAGAATAACAATCTTATTCTTGAGCCTGATGTTTTCCTGTTCATTTTCTTAGCCTCTTATTCTCTGGTATGGCACTTCTGTGTCTGCTCCACTAATTGCTTTTTTACTTCTCTGATGCTTTGAATTTCCACTCACACTTTCCAAAGCTTGTAATTGGCATGGACTTCAGCCTCAAACATTCTTGTATCATGTCTAGCTCCTTTTTCTGGGCCTTGATTTCTGCATGCAGCATTAGAATCTCCTCTTGGCTTTGCTTGTAGTCAGCAAGGATGGTAGCATTGGCATCCTGTGCCTCCTTCAGCCTCTGACCTGTAGCCCCCAGCCTTGCCTCGTGCTCACCTAGGCTGATGCACTTGGATTTCATTTGATTCTGAGTGTTTTCCAGGTTCATTCTGAGCATTTTGTTCTCATCTTTGATTCTTACAAGTTCCTGATTTATGTCTCCAAATGTTTTCTTCACATCCTATAATTCTTAGTTTTCTCCAGTGGGCTGTTCAATGCACTTTTAACCTCTTTGTGAGTTTTTACTGTTTCCAGATGGCTAACGTGCTTACTTAACCTATCATTTTCCATCTTTCTCCTCCTCGGACCTTCCTTTTTCCAATGTCCATTTTGCTTGCAATAAGCACACTGGTCAAATCTTAGAGGCTCCCTACTTGCATGTGCAAATGAATTGTACTGTCTTTGCCAAGGGTTTCTTGATCCCTGTTCTGGTGCTGCTACCAAAACTTGAAACTCCTTCTTTGACTGTTTTTCTTCCAGGGAGTATCTGTTATCAAACACCTGCTGAGCAACCACAGATAACACTTTTCCCTCAAAACCTTCTAACTTTTGAAGCTTTCTTCTAATATCTGGGGCTGACTGGGTGACAATGATCATAGTTAGGGCTCCTCGATTCTCTAGGGCCTCAGGATCTATAGGCATATAGGTCCTATAGGCCTCCAAGAGACATTCTAGAAAAACAGCAGGAGACTCACTGGGGAGCTGCTACACAGTCTCACCTTAGATAAATTAGTTGGTTTCCTAGCCCGTATCCCTGCTAACAGAGTCTGGCAATAATTGGTAAATGCCTCCTTACCTCGATCGCTGTTGTAATCCCAGCTTGGGTGAGTCAGGGGAAAGACTCACTCTAAACAGACTGGGTCATCAGTGGGTAAACCATCTGGTCCACACCCATCTTTAAGGCACTATAACAGATTTGCTCCTTTCCTCCCAAGTGAAAAGCACCTGTAAAAGTTGCTGACAATCATCCCAGGTGAGCTGGTGTGTAAAAAATACTGTCTCTAATAAGGAGGTGAGCCCTGGGGTTTTTCAGAAAAGGATGGATTTTGCTGTTTCCATTTATACGTCACTAGTTGTAAAGGGAACATACACTAGAAAGGGGGCTTGCCTACCATCTCCCCCATGCACCTGTCTCAAGGGTAATAAGGGGACTGCACCACCTTCTGCCACCTCAGACTGGTACAAGGAACCACATCTGGTATAGGGGGGACTTAACATCGGAGGTGCTGATGGCACAAAATAAGAGGGAGAGTACACCAGTGGGTCTTCCTCTGTGGGATCCGCTGACACTGGGGGAGAAGATTTTTCCATTACGAGAGCTTTAGGACATTGTTCTACTATCCTAGAAAAAAGAAGTAAGCAAAGGTGTGTACAAGACACAGAATTATCAGCAAATACACACAGACAAATAGCCACAGACTCTTAACCCACAAGTCCCACACCTCTCAAAGATGACCCCTCAAGGAGGTCCCAGATGGCTCAAGGAAGCCCCAGATGACTGAAGCAGGTCCCAGATGTCCCCTCAAGGACAGCCCCAGAAACAGGCTGGCAAGCTTGCCCAGACTCACTACTAGAGGATTCCCTAATGACTCTTGTCAACGTTGGTCCATCCACCCAAAGGAGGCTCTCACCCCTGAGGGCTGAGATGCTCACCTACAAGGGAGATTCCCAGGGGCCAAGGGCTGATGCTGTCCAGATGGATTATCTCACTGGGCCTCCAAAACTTATGACCTCTGAAGAGCAAGACAATCCATCAAGAAACAGCTGAAGATAACAAATTTATTTACACTATTTACACCAGAAAGGGGTACTGTGACTAACTTGTCCTGGGCTAGGTACCCAGAATCAGGATCAGCCTCAACCACTTTAGAGGTCTGGGGTTAGAGGTTTGCAGACTGACTAATTGGTGGTTTGCAGACCAACTAATAAAGATCTGGGGGTCAAGGCTGCCTATTGGAGGCTTGAAGGTTTGTGGTTGAGGCTGCTCCTGGTTCTGGGTATCTAGCCCAGGACAAGATAGTTGCAGGACCCTTTTCTGGTGTGAATAGTGTAAATAAATGTTATCTTTAACTGTGCCTCGGTGGATTGTCTCACTCTTCAGAGGTCTTACATCCACCAAACCTCCAAGCCTCCAATGGGCAGCCTGACCTTCATTACTTGGTCTGCAAACCTCCAGAGCTCCAAACCTCCAAAGAGGAAGGCTTTTCCCTTTCTTCCCTTCCTCCTCCTCTGCAGGCCTCTCCACTCTGCACAGGCCTGCCCTGCTCTGCTCCGGGAGGAGCATCTCCACAGGCCTCTCTAGAGGAAGGTCCCAAATGGCCTCTTGAGGCTTGCCCTGTCCTCCACGGGCCTGCCCTGCTCTGCTCCAGCAGGCTTCCCCTCCTGCCATCTTTCCCTCCACTCCTAACTACTCTGTTGGTCGCTGACCCTCCTGCTCAGGACTAACGGTTTTCCAACTGCCATTCATGTTCCTCCCCCAAGCTGCCCCTGTCCAATCCCCAGCATGTGGGGCTCAACGCCCCACCCCCTCTAGTAGCACGCCCCACCCCTGCTGGCAGCATGCCCCGCCCCTCCAGGGGCACGCCCCGTGGGGCAGTGACGACCCCTTCCAGTGGCCCAGTTTGTGGCGCCCTGAGGCTTGCCTCTTGATGCCCTGTCCCTTTTAGTGGGCCGGGCCATGAGGCCACGCTGATTATCAGGGCCCCACTGATTACCGGGGCCCCACTGGTTATTACAGAATCCTGTGCACTATTGGGGTTGGCTTTGAACCTCGGTCCTCAGATCTCAGCCTCCTGAGAAGCTAGGATTACAGGGGTGAGCCACCAGTGCCCAGCCAACTCTGTATGTGACCAATGTCCAATTTGTAGCTCTGTCCACAAAACCTACCCTATGTTTAAAATGCCCCAATACCCCGGTAAGAGTTGGGTGGGTCTTGTGAGCAGAGCTACAAATTGGACAGTGGCCCTGGTCTTGTTGCCTTAGCAACCAGGAAAACCCTATGCTTGCTGCATACCTGTCTTTTCTATACCCTGAAGACAGCTGAAAATAGGTTGAAATGCTGTCTTCCCCTAGTGCACCTGTGCCATATAATAAACTCCATCCTCTGCCCTTGTCTCTTTATTTGACATGTAGGAGCAAGAGGCTGGACCTGAAATGTAGAACTTCTGGAGTTGATGCCTGGTGCCAAAAACTGCTTACACTTGGACCATTTCCAAATCCTATATCCTGGGCTTTACTAGGGATTTTCAGTGTGGGCCAAAGAAAATATTAAAAAGGTATACTAGAGGTTGTCTTGGCCAGTGTTTCTTAGCGTGTGGTTTTGGGACCAACAGTATTGGCATCAGGAACCTGGCAGCAATGAAAATTCTAAGAACCTTCTATTTTACCTCTGAATCAGAAACTCTGAGGATGGTGTCTAGGAATTATTGTCTTAACAAACCTTATAGGTGATGTATACATGAGGAGTTTCAAAACCAGAGCACTAACAGTTTTCAAAGTCCATTACACGTTAAAATCATCTGAAAAGTCTTAAGAAAATATGAATGACTCCAACCCCACTTTGAAGATTGTGAGGAAATTGATCTGCAGTGAGGCCCAGCAACTTGTCTAACTAATGAAGAATCTAGGAGCTGAGAAGATAAAATAACTTTTCAAGGTCACATACCTAGTGAGTCAGACTGTCCTAGAAGTGTTTGTTCTAGCAGACTGTTTTGAACGTTTATTGTCAGGGACCCCTTTCATTTAGGCCTTCTGGTTCTGCCAAAGTTGTTGTGTCAGTTTTCTATTTCCACACACATATAGAACGCACACCTTTTTAATGCCACCAACAAAATGCACTGAAAATTTTGCATTCTTAACAAATTTTACTGAATAGTATCAAGTCACAATCTGGAGATTATAATCAAACACTTTCCAATTAAACACCTAGGCACTATTGGAAGTTGTCTGTGCCATTTTCAGCATGCGAATCCCAAACTGGTTGTGCCTTTACTTTGACTTTTCCGAATACGTCAACAAGCATCTTAGCTGTGAACAAATGTCCAGTAATGTGTCTGTATCATGTAGATCTCTTGGGATAGACAACACCTGGATACACATAAATAAGAAGCAGAATTGAACCCAGAAGCATAATTGAAGCAGAACTGAACCCAGCTAAAGCCTGGGTTCACCAATCAGCAGGTGCTGGCGACAGTAGTGCCAGTAATGCTATAGCAAACTTCTGAATTCTTCACCCAAATTGTTTTATCTTATCATTGTTCATTTGGTTTGCTTTTAGATGGTTGAAGGCTGAAGGCCCCTTTCCAAATAAAAAACAAAAGTTTTGATGTTGTAGTCTTCTTTTTTCCAGGACAACAGACTAAAGCTATTCATCCCAAAAGAAAATTATAAGGAAAATGGTTGAAGCTGGTCCAGGTCCAGTTGGCTCAAGTTGATTCAAATTGTTTCCAGGGTGGGTTCTTGGGTCCAGAATCTTTAGGAATAAACCTGGAAATGGAACCGGAAATATATAGGAAAGGGTTTATGAGATCATCTACTTGAACTCAATTGGAGATATAGCTTCAACCAGGAGCAATTTACCACATATGTTCTGGCAGCCTTCCTCAAACAAAGGGAAAGAAGCAGTGAATAAAAGAATTCCCACCAAAAGTTATCACTCAGATTCTTTATGCAAACAATGGATGCAAATGTTCAGAGAATGTTCGATCCTGACTGGTCTGTATCATATTCTTTATGTAAAAAAAGAAAAATAAAGTGGATCCTTAATTCCACAATTGCAGTGTCTGTCTGGATCAGTTATTGTTTGAGTTCATTTGTATGCAGTTAACTTCAGCTTTTGCCTCCTAGATTGAGAAAGTTTTTTCCAGAGGCTGACCCTGGATTTTATGTGAGGAAAATGTGTTTATAGCTGCTGAATTTTTAACACTGAGACTAAATGTGAGTGCTGGTTGCCATTTATGGCTTTGTTGTGAGAGATCGAAACAATGCATAGGAGTTGTATTAAGTTAGAAATGAGCTGTTCTTTAGAAGTCAGGGTTCAGAAAAGTAGTGTGCCTCAGAGCCTTCTCATAACATTCTAGGGCCTTGTTCATGTCCCCTTGCAATTTGTGGACGAGTCCAAGGAGGCTGAGGCTTTCCACAATCTGTATGTTGTGGTGAAGATGTTTTTCAGCCAGTTGCTTCAAAGCCTTGAGGAGCTTTCCCCTGGCATAGGAAATTTCCTTGATTTTTAGTCCTTTTAAATAATGAGTGATGGCTTTATCTTCAGAATTCTGGTGCAATTGTTGGAAGTTGCCATAGCGAAGATGAATCTCTTGCTGCTTGTCTTCAGCACAGTTGTTCATGTTTAATGCTCTTTGAAAATTGTCTTCTGCCTCTCTGTATTGACCTATTTCTGCATGCATTTCAGCCAAGTCAACATAGGCCAACTCATACGTAGGCTTCAGTGCTAATGTCCTTTGAAACTTATGTATAGCCAGCTGAACTAAGCTATTTATATTTTCTCTATTTTGCCCTCTAGGCCCTCTGCTTGTTTGATTCTTTATTTGGAACACTTGTGACCTGTAGCAGAGCCCTATCTGATGGTGTAGGAAGGCAGAGGAAGGAGTTTCCTGCAAGGCCCTTTGAAGGAGCTCAAGAGCTCTCTCCACACAGCCTTTCCTTCTGTAAAATTTGGCTGCATATCGAAGGATGTACATCAGGGAGGTTGTGCTGCCAAGAGCTTCTTCAATGTACATTTCTCCTTCATCTTCTTGGTTTACATCCTGGAGCTTCAGGGCAAGGAGGACCTTAATGTAAGTATCTGCTGGATTGAGCCTAACTGCCTGCCTTAGGGGGTTTAGAGAAATAACATTGTTGGGATCAGAATCCAGGCGATAGAGAGTGATGGCATATCCAGTGCTGAACTCAGGGTTTTCAGGCTCCACTTGCAGAGCTTTTTCAAAGCAAGCCCTGGCCCGCACATAGTTCTGTCTTCCGCACTTGAGCAAGGCCCAGCCTTCTGCACAGTCCATCTCAGGACACTCCATGCTATAGCAAAACCGGCTTGCAAACTTCTGGCAAGTGTCCTCCACCTTGTCAAGGTAAGTCTGGGCTTCTTCTAGCCTGCCCATGTGGTAATACAGCCAGGCATAGTTGCCCCAGGTCACCAGGCTGCCTATGTCTGACAGGTCAGCATGCTCTCTGTGGATCAGATCCTCGGCTTCATTCAAGCTCTGCAGGGCGTCCTCATCCTGGCCTTGCAAGTGTTTCACGTAGGCCAGGAGGTTGTATATTCCCACGTTGTATTTGGTGTCTAGGAACTCAATCTCTTCCCAGATTCTGTTCTCTAAGTCAGGTACTGCGGAGTCTTCAACCACCAGCTCCCATGTGAAGTGACATCTCAGCTGATTGCAATTTTCTTCTATCATAGTTCTGTGATGTTCCTGACTGCAAAAATTGACCACAGTTATTTCTTCTTTTTTACGTTATATGTACTAGAAATCAGTCCAGCACTTTAAACCACTAAATACACCCCCCTGCAGTATCCTTGTCTCCCAATATTTGTTCTCTTTCTGCCTTTGATATTCTTATCATATGAAACAAAGCAGGTTGACATAAAAACCTTGAAGAAATGCTATGCTTCCAATGGTGTTGGTTGTCTTACGTCTAATATTTAGCTGAAAAAATTCCATTAATATCAATGTAATCTTAGCTCCATCTTTTTCACTGGAAAACATTTTCTACTCCTGCTTCCTTCCAAGACCAGTATACCAATAATGCTTAAAGAAGAAGTAGAAAATCAGAATTAACCATCGAGCAAGGTCCTTACTCTTCTTTCTCATGCATCCAACAAGTAAAAATGGTTTTCTTTCTCCACTCCCAGGACCTGCATCTGCAAAGGATGACATCTTTAACTGAGACTGTTCTTGCTTTCAGGCAGCCTGCTTTGTAGGGTGTTTGGGTGAGGAAAGAAGGAAACCAACTGTGACCTGGAAATATTACCCAATACAATCTAGTGTGTGTGTGTGTATGTGTGTGCGTGTGTGTGTGTGTGTGTGCGTGTGTGCGTGTGTGTGTGTGTGCGCGTGTGTGTGTGTGTGTTGGGATGAGGAGGGGTGAGATCAGAAGTAAAATTATTGTACCTAAAAATTGCTAACCCAAAGAGTCACCAGTTCTACAAGATATGTCATTGGGAAGAGCTTTTGACTCAAATGCTTCTCTTCTGCTCACTGTAGTCCAAGTATGATGAGGACAGTGCTGTCCAAAGAAAATCATTTGCACAGACAGCCATTATTCTAGAGCTGCTAAAATATTGGGAGACATACCTGTCTAAACCTTATAGATATGTCTCTCCCAATCTTAGGAACCTCAGCTTCTGACCCAGCCAGCACATTTGTGAGATGTAAAAAAAAAAAATCCTTCTTTCACATGTCTAATCAAGATCATTGCTAAGTGGAAAGTGTACTAAATGTCTACCCTAATGGAGGGTAGACTTCAACAACTTTACAGGAATTCCCTTCCCACCTTGGTAGAAGAGAATTATTCTTTCCCATAGATAATTGTTTATCAACATTTATCTTCTTTTTGGCTTGGGTCCTAAGAAAAGTGTGGGATAGATTGCCATGCAGAAATCCACATACTAAAATAGCAATATTGAAGACTGATATTCCTCCTTCGGCTGTTAGTGGAAGGTAAATTATTAGAATTATGAGTATTACAATCCCATATGCAAAAGGGTACTTGTTACAGGTCCTCAGATATTTCCTTGGATCCCCTCCCCTCAGTGGTTGTGCTCAGTGAGCATGCATGGAGGGAGGAGCTCATTCTCTCTCTCCCCACCTCTCTCTTTCTCTATCTCTGTCTCTCTGTCTGTCTCTGTCTCTGTCTCTGTATCTCTCTGTCTCGCTGTCTCTCTCTCTGTCTCTCTGTCTCTATGTCTCTCTCTCTCTCTCCTGCACCAATAGGACCAAAACTATTTTGACATGGGCTTCCTTTAATCTGCTTTAGGTCAGGGGCTCCAGTGGGGGGAGAGGTTGTAGAAACCTGTACGATTTATTATGTCTTAGTATTTTTTTTCTCTTACTAGCCAGTGTGTTAACTTGTAGATCCAGCTATACATCAGATCTAAAATATAATTTAATATATTTAAACCACCCAAAAATAAACCATGAAATAAATAATAACCCAATTAATAAATGGGCTAAAAACTTAGAGATACTTCTCAGAAGAAGTAAGAATGGCCAATAGACACATGAAGAAATATTCAATATCTCTGGCCAGAAAAGAAATGCAAATCAAAACTACATTGAGATTCCACCTTACCCCAGCTAGAATGGCTATTATCAAGAAAACTAATAACAGATGTTGGTGGAGATGTGGCTAAAAGGGGACTCAACTACCCTGTTGGTGGGAATGTAGACTTGTTCAGCCACTCTAGAAAGCAATATGGAGGTTCCTCAAAAGACTAAACATAAAGCTTCCCTATGACCCAGAAATCCTACTCTGGGGCATTTATCCAAGAGACCACAAACAAGGTCACATTGAAACTACCTACACAACCATGTCTATTGCAGCATTGTTTACCATAACTAAGATATGGAATAAACCCAGATGCTCCTCAGTGGATGAATGGATCAAGAAATGTGGTATTTGTAAAAGGCAAAAGATTTATGCAATCTGAAGAGAAACCAGAGTATAGAAATGTGGTATTTGTACACAATGGAATTCTATGATTCCATCAGAAAGAATGGCATTGCCTCATTTTTAAGGAAATGGAAATACTTTGGAAAAAATCATATTAAATAAAGAAAGCCAGACTCAAAGAAATATACGCTCATGGATTCCTTCATTTGTCATGGTGAATTCTTTTGCAGTCGCTGGCTTGCAATTCTTCTCAAAATAGTACAGACATTGGTTAGTAAATGCATCTTTGTGGAAGAGTCCCTTTTACACTTTTTCTTTTCTATGAACTGCCACATCAGATTGGGTCAGAGAGCAAGCCAGATTATTTTTTTGTCAGTCGTGGGGCTTGAACTCTGAGCCTGGGTGCTGCCCCTCAACTCTTTCAGTTCAAGGCGAGTGCTCTACCACTTGAGCTACAGCACCACTTCTAGTTTTCTAGTGGTTTATTGGAGATAAGAGTCTCCCGGTATTTCCTGCCCAAGCTGGCTTTGAATTCTGATCCTCAGATCTCATCCTCCTGTGTAGCTAGGATTACAGGTGTGAGCAACCAGCCCCCAACTCCAGAATGTTTCTGAACAGAAAATATTTTCTTCAGTTTAATCATTGGAAACAAACCAGGCAAAAGATATTTATTTTGTAAAACAAGCATATTTCAAACTCAATGTTCAAATGACTAGCCTCATGCTCTTTCAGATGTTAGCATAAAGCTAACTTAGGAGGCCAGGTCTGGCCAGCGCCATATTGACCACATGGTGGATAGTAGGGTCTGGCATCTTGCCTTCATGCTGGGGGAAGGACCTCCCCCCCCCATTATCTGTCTCCCAGGTAATGGGCATGCCCAGACCCCTGGAGGCAGGGACAGGCACTTGGCTGATAGGTTACTGAATCTGTCAGTCCAGTGTCTGAGACTGGGAATTTCCTGAGGATCTGCCCCCTGTGAGGACCTGTTTAGGCCTGAACCAGCCTAGCTGCCAGGACTCCATGGCACGTGTGTCTCTGTGATCGTGCCCTGTGTCCTGTGTCCTGGCTCCTTTCCAGTCATCATGACATCCCAAATCAGCTCTCCATTGGAGCTGAATTGGCTTGTTGGTATTGTTATTTCTTTTCTCTTTAGCCTGTTTCCTAGCTGTGTTATGTGTATTTTTGTGCTGCCTGCCTTCGTAACAACTGGTAGCCTGCAGCCTGTTAACTGTATAATAAAGACTCCAATATTCTATGTTTTAAAATGTGGCTTCTGGGATGATTTACCTTACAACATATGACACCCAACAAGGGGCCCCAGTGCCAAGTAGGGCATTTGGGATTACTTGAAACCACTGGTAGATGGCCTCAGTGGGCCGGCTACCATTGGATGGAAACCACTACAGGGGAGGCCCTGAAGGATTGACCCCCACTCTATTGTCCCAGGCCCATACAGGCACCAGGCAAAATCCCAGGTATGTGTAAACTTGTTTGAAGTGCAGGCAGGGCAATCCACCTAAGCCCAGCTGTAAACACCCCATTGTGGGCCTAACTGAAAGGCCCCCACCTTCCTTGACCTAGTGGCTTTTTCATTAACCTCTGCCTCCTTGCTTGGACCTCCTATAAAAACCCAGCTTCTGTCCCAACTCTCTGGCACAACCTCCAAACCCTCAGGAAGGCCTGTGCCCCTCGCTGTTCCTCAATAAACAGTCCTTGCCTATTGATGATAGAGACTGGTCTATTCCTTTTCCGGTCTCCTCCATTTTCCTAACAGGCCCACCCCCTGGAAAGTTCCAGGGCCCTGTGGTCTTTCTGCCACTCTGACAGCCAGCTCCTCAATGCCAGACTTGCCATCAAAACATCTTAGGAAGCTTCCAGAAGTAAGTCTCTGTGTCTCTGTTCTGTATTCTGTCCTATATTATGTTTATGTTTTTTCTGAAACCTGGGAGCTGCTCCATCTGGAAATTAAAGAGGACAGGGGAGTAGATGTGCTGGGTACCCCACCCTTCTTCCTCTCAATTGACAAATCTGAGAGGTTCTGGTGGCACTGAGTGGGAGAGGCTCACTTGGCAGACTATTGTACTGTGGAGAGTCTTGCAGTTTCTGTGGCTGTCATACAATAGGGATTTCTGGGTATGGTTGTGTTGGGGGGCGTCCCCCTGATGGTGGGAGAGGCCCCAGCTCAGCTGGGTTTTTTTGTGTTTGTCTTGGTCTTGTGTCTCTTCTTCTTGTGTTTGGTCTTGTGTTTTATGGAGGAAATGGAAGCCTGCTATGTGCTGTACCCCCTTCTGCAAGAAGGCAGTTGGGAGTTTGCAGGCAGATGAGGGTCTGGTTCAAACAATGAGCTAATCTTAGCAGTTTAAAAATTAAGTGCTCTTGGGGCTGGGAAGGTTGCTCAGTGGTAGAGCGCTTGCCTTCCATACATGAGGCCCTGGGTTCGATTCCTCAGCACCACATAAGCAAAAAGAAAAAAGCTGGAAGTGGCGCTGTGGCTCAAGTGGTAGAGCACTAGCCTTGA